GAAAGAAGATGGCCTAATAGTGGAACATGTGAAAAAAGCGACACAATATTCTACTACTCTGGAAACCACAACCCAGAGAGATGGCTAAATACGTATTTTGTAGCTTACTCGGACCGAATTATACCCATCTATTGAATTTTGTTTGTTATTGAATTATTCTAGACCAATGAACATCAAATATACGCACCTACAGCGGGCAAAGAAGAGACGGAAAAACTTGAATTTTAAGAACAAATTCGGGAGATTCTGCACTCTGAAACCCGAAGATATCAATATGATATTGGGTGATTTCTACTCAAAGCTCGGAAGTGGAAGTATTGTAAGCAGGGGGTGGGGACAATAGGAACGAACGTGGTGAAATGCTAATCTAGTTCTGCCTTTGAGGAAGATCTGGTTATTAAGAATACATTTTATAAACCACACGCCGGAGAATTCTACACTTTGAGGTCTCCACAGAACGAACAAGGAAACATTGTACGGGATCAAATTGACTATATTTTGCGACCTTCCCGGGAGCAGACATCGATTCATAATCATCTCATTGCAAAATTCTGTTTTAGAGGTAAGACGCTATCAAAAAAGCGAGGACCTCAAAAATATGATATTCAGGCACTAAGTACAGGAAAACCTGAAAATTGAAATAGACAGACAAGATAAAAGAAATAACTGGAACAAATAAAAGAAATGCATTAACGTCAATAAAAAACAGCAAACGGAAACTGTTTCTAGATATAAACGAACTGAAGGACACCTGGAAAAATTACGCGGAGGCACTGATTTTGGATCAACATTCCTATCAACTCGCAAACGATTGTAGAAATATAGAAGGTCCAAAAATCCTTGAATCTGAAGACAGATACTCAATAGAGTGTTTGAAGAGGGGGGATATTATGAAGCTCACACATCTCTTTAAAGTGATATATGATTTTGGACAAATCCCACAGGACTGGCTAAAGTCCACGTTTATCTCCATTCGAAAACAAATTCTAAAACTGCGGAGACTCATAAGTCATTCATTTTAGAATATACAGAAAGTGTGAAGAGATGAGTGGCACGAGGGAAACTTTCATCTCCGTGAAATTACTTGTGCAAAAATGTTGTGATTAAAGGCAAGATTTTTTATCTGCTTTATTGACTATTAGAGGGCCTTTGATAAAGTGAAATACAAACTAATGATGGAGATACTACAGATATAATCTCAGCAGTCTGCTGAGATTATATCTTCCTGACGGTTTCAAGGTTGTTGAGTAAAACATCATTGGGAAGCTCTTCTAAGTTACTCTTTAATGGTCTAATACCATATCTGGGACTTCTCATTTTTTTGGAGATTGCAAAATAGTAATTACATTATTTTTTGGGGTGATGCGGGCGGAAAAGTGGGTTATTTTCTGTATAGCAACATTGGATATGGTTTTTGGGAGTTCCCTTACAATATTGCCGTGCTTACTTACTCAGCATGTCCACAAGAATAAGTTCTTTTAATTAAGATAAATAACGAACTGGTCCACTGTAATATTTGCAAATCCAAATCCAAATCTAACTTCAGCCACATCTTTTAAGGGGGCTTCAATGCTCTTTACCCAGGTTGATATTGCAGCGGAAAACGGGTCGACGGGGACTGGGGCGAACACAACATGGCTTCGCAACATACGAAACTGGAGTGGTATAAGTGACGCTGCAACCATATTTCAAAGAGCTGAGGAGAGCACCCTAGTCATCTTATAGCTATAGAAAAAGAAAAATGATCGCCAACGGGCGGCATAGCACATGACGGCCGAAGAAGACTGTTGCAGGAATTTTCTCCGTATAATGGATACTTTGATTCACGTTAAGATGACGCGGTTTTGGCCTTTTGCTATAGATTTAATAAAAGACGCAGTTTTCAGGAAAGGCGAAGGAAATAAATTGCCAAGGAGCATGTGGAAATACTGTCATCACATATTATCAATTTTACTGGCTTGGCTTGCATGAAGCAGTACTATAATTTCTTAGTTGTTATTTTCGCTATAAAACCCTCATTACACCTTAAGTTTTACCCTTGACACGTTAGATAAAGCTGATGACAACAGAGGGCAGTAAAGAAGATCGAAGAACGATGAAGGCGGGTAAAACTACAACGGAGATATTAAATCAAATTATCAATACATGCCACAAGAATGACATGCGAAACACATTTTTATTATTAAAGAGGATTTAATACACAGAATAAGCTGTACAATTTTCCATTTATATTTAATGGGTGTAAAGTATTTGACACACCTCTACGATCGCCAACACCGGAACTCAACTATCGCATTAGTTAATTCGCGTATATGACAACGATGTCAACGGCAGTTTCACTAAAACTAAAATAATACCCATGAATATTAAACAACGCGCGCTGTCAGAACGAACGTCCGAATTAAACTAAAATAACAGAAAATCACACTAAAAGTTGTCTGAAATATCCAGTGCTGGCGAGCGCATTCATTATTAAGCGAACATGCAATTCCACTAAAAACATCGATAACGACCACGAACCAAAAAAGTAAAACCAAAAACAAAAAACGTGTTTGGTCCACACGTTCGAAAATAGGGAAACGGGTGCTGGGAAAAAATCTACAATTGACGATGCTCGGACGTTTATGGAAACTTTTTTGCGTCATGTCTATCAGATCTCCCCAATGAAAAATTAAAAGACTGCCGGTACATAAAACCTTTTCATTTACATTTCCTTCTATTCTATATAAATATACCGGAAAATACTAACCAAAACTTAGCTATGGAATACAAGCTGTACACCTGTCGTATTGATTTTTTAGGTCTGTGTATAACAAAAGTGCTCAAAAAGTTGCCAGTTTATTGACGTTTCCGTCATTCATGACCTTCCTCAGAATAATTAGTGTCTACAAATACATTTAAAATAAAAAAAAAAACAATTTTAGAACCACACACAATCTCAAACTTACAAAACAAGTTCATCATATCACTAAAACAAGAACTATGTACTCTAAAAGTTAATATTTTCTCATAATCCTATCTAAAATAGTATATTATACAACTAGTACGATAAACGCCACTTACAGTTTTATCAACGTTGCATTCTATTCTTTTCCTATGACGTAACAGTAACAGTCAGAACTGACAAATGTCAAAATACCATAGCTAAAACCCGTAACTGAAGTTAAAGAGACAATTTCCGAACCATTGATGCGTGAATAATTGAGTCTTTTAGGGGAGGGAGTAGAAAAAATTATTGAGAGATCCCAAGCAACAAAGTGATGATACATGGAAACGTGAGACAAATGTAAAAAATAAAACCTTAAAATTGTATTAAAAATGGAGCCAACATTACTTCAAAAATGCTTCTCTTTTGGTTGAAAAACAGCTGGTTCAACAAATTTTTTTATAGTAAATCTTATATTTTAAAACATTATAAATTTCTTTGTACTTTCCAATCCATGAATACTTTCAACGGCAATATAAAATTACCTAATTATAAAATGTATTTACTGAAAATCTGATATTATATTATAAAAGTAATGAATTGCAATTAATTTTTAATAATTTTTAGTAATACCGTTCTATAAATAAAATTTGTGTTTGATAAAATTACCCACAATTTAATATTTGTTTTTTGCAGGAACCTAAACTTTGGGATGAAATTCATTAATAATTCATTAACAAGTTTAAAGTAATTATTTAAAATTTGACTGACAAACTCCTAAAGAGAGCAGATAGAGATCTAACTGGCAAACAGACAATGGGAGCTGAATTTCACTGAATAAGAGATAATGACACTGTAGCAGCAAATGAAAATTAAGCAATAAAGCATAAATATGAAGCAGACGCTTCTATTGAAAAAGAATAATAAATAAGTGTATTATGTGAATTTTTGTAATGCGAAGAGTTCGAAACAGTATTCTGCTTTTTTTATTATTTAATTAAATTGCAGTAGACGTTTATATTTCCCTAAGTGTAACACCGTTATTAAACAATCTAAATTCGATTTATAAAATAAAATTTACAGAACCAAAACAAGTTTATAAAGCGAATATGTTCTAGATTCTCTCAGAGCGCTGGGTATTTCCTAATAAAAGCTATATTTTAACCGCTTTCAAAAAGGGAGGTATTTTTTTACACGTCGTCGATTTGCAAGGGATTTACAGTCATTTTGTGTTGTGATTTGTTTTTTCGGTTCGTCATTTGTCGCCGACCGGGGCTCAGCTGTACGGGATAAACGCTTGCTTGGCAGGAATTTAAAGAGGAAATTGCAAACGGATATTGAGTGCTTTCGTTTACGAAAATGTGTCCACACTGCGTGGTGCTGGAGATAGGACTATTCGGGACAGGTTTTACGGACACCATTAGCTTTCCTTTGTAGGCGGTTTTGTTTTTTAATTCCTTTTTTGGGGAACTAGTGAAACACCATTTATTTTAATCAATGGCTAAATTCCTGCCACATCAAAACAGAGTTGACACTAAATTTAGTGTGGTCACTTAAGTTTGTGCAACTTGTTAAAATTTGGTGTCTTTTCGACAATCAAATGGAATACTAAGTTCGTTATACAATTTGAAAATTGTATAGGAGAACGTTTATTTTAAAAAAATAGTTACATAGAATAAATATCTGGCACAATTTGTTCAAATTCATTGACAAATAAACTTTTTAGATATTTTATACTTTAGGCAATCGCAAACTTCATGTGTGTTGCAAACGATATTAGACACAAATATAAAATATCGAAACAAGGTTTCCTAGCACGGCAAAGTATCAATAATGATAATGTACAAAATACAATATTTGTAGTTTAAACAGTTATTCAAAAACGGCACACATCAATTTACCATATGTTGCACACTTAAATGAAAACCCTGTATAGCTTGTCCCATAAGATCCGAAAAAAATTTCAAACACGTTAATTTAAAACTTCGGTAAGTATTCGGTCGCTCCTTATGTTTGATAAATATATTCCATAATACATGGAAATAGCTCTCCTGTACCTTCTCTCTATACATACCTTCATATACCTCCTCTATACCTCCACATTTCTCTGTTGTGCATACATATGTTTTCATATGCCTTTCCTTATACTTGCATTATACATCCTCCATACCTACGCATACCTCTATACCTCTTTTATAACTACTTATATATTTCTTACACTTCCATATACCTCGTTTTTCATCTCTCATACTTCTGCTATATCTCTATATGTGCTATACCTCAATATACTTTCCTAAACCTACGACCAACGAACGAAGCTATATGTTAGGTAAAGTGGACTGAAGATAGTGGACTACATCTAGCTAAAACCGAAAAATTAACTTTCAATTTCTCTGTTTCGTTGTCGCTGATACCCTGTATAGATCTCGATTAACTCTTGTGCACATTTTTAAGTCTTTTGCAGGACGTCGCGTGCAAATGAGGTGCCACAACAAACTCAAACGAAAATGGAGAAAAAATCGCAACTCCAGCACCACGCAAACAAAGAACGGGGCCCTTGACAGACACCCATCACTCTCTCAGTTCATTACCTATAGCGGAAGTAGCCTTTATGTGCGGGTGTTCGTGCTAACCTGTACTTCCGGTGGCGACGACGACGGCAAAGTTATTGGGATAAACAGTAGCGGACCCTTAAGGAATTATCGAAACCGAAATCGACGAGCTAAAGACCAGTCGTCTCTAGTCTAGTGCGAGATAAAATAGCAGACCAGATAAATTACTGACGAAACGATCACATCAAAAACTGCTTAGCTTACAAAAAGCAATTGTCTCCCAAACAAGATGGAAGATGGTAGTGGGAAGATTCAGTTGCTCCAAATCAGAAGCTGATATGCTAAAAGTTGAATTTGGACGACATGTCCTTCCACAAAATAGCGGACTCTATGTGAGCGCTGAACTTGATGAGAGGAGTACATGATTTGGAGTGTACCGCAATGGAATGATTATCAGCTTGTCGCAACACACTATAACTTCAAACTTAACCCTAATCTACGCGTCTCCCCAACTTCTGGAGCTAGAATGTTTTTCTCCAAAAATGAAATAAATAAAAATAAATTCGCCACACAGAATGAACTCTTGGATATGATGGAAAGTAACTAAATGTTTTGTAACTCAGGGTTCACATTTTGGTTTTGTTCTTTAGATTTGGTCGATGTCGTCAGTTTTTAAAGAAGTATAGGTTCCTTCACTCTCCAACTGAATCTAAATTCAATTTATCGCTGGTCGACAATAAGGATTTGAATCTAAATATAGGAAATATTCAACAACTAATTTTGGTTATTCTTTAAATTTCGTGCCCTTCAAAAGGGCGAATGAAATGAATTAGGGCTATAGGAGCTTGTGTTCTATAAGTAAATTTAGCCTCGATTTTTTTGGTTTTTGTCTCTAAGATTTTGAATTGCGCCTTTCTCTGTTAAATATTTGAACAGTCACCTTGGGTTTCATTTTTATACACCTTAACTTGCTATGCTAATAGAAGTTAATAATCATACAGATTACTAGGCTGTCGCTAATTTATTACATACAAATAATATAGAAACGCAAAGATTGCATGCTTATTTATGTTTTATTTTCAGGTTATTGCTGGATGATGTACTATAATTTTCTTCTTTGAAAATTGAATTTTACAATTATTCATAAGATTTATTATTATTCGTTGGCAAAGACTGTGTAATAGCTATTTATGATTTGGAAGTATGTCCGATCTAATTTGTTTAGTTAGTTAAGTTATTGTAGGCATCAATAACTAGTTTCTAATTGAATGATTCTGTAAAGTTGTGTAACCTTTAATAATAAATAAATAAAATAAATTTATAAAGCCGTTAGTCGATGTGTTTTATGTTAGTTTGGAATATTTTGCGTTATAGTAAAATATAAAAGGCAAACTTGTGTCTATTCCTTTATAAACGTTTTTATGGGTTTTGTCCATAAACGTCATAATGTTAATAACAATCTACACATACCAAAGCAGTGTGCTCTGGTAGTAAACATTTATCACCGAACCATTTTCTTGCAAGATAAAGGGCACGCCACTGGTCGAAATATGTTCGCTATTAATTGCCGTTTTGGTCGAGGCGTTTTAACATTTTACTGAATTTATGGTCACGTATGTAATTATTATGTCATTACAAAACGTTTACGATGCGCAAGAAAAACCGAACAGCTGATTCCAAAACGCAAACAATTTTTGGGGCGTTAAGCTCGTTTCAATTGTTTTTTTTTAATTGGATCAATTGTTAGTTCGCTTTTGGTAATCGGCTTCAAAATGTTTCGCTAATGCTAAGCGGTGCATTATTTAAATAATAGAATTTCGAGGGTTATTAAAAATTGCAAAGAAATATTCTAAGTTAACTAGAGCTGGGTTATGATATTTAAAGAATATTGATCTAATTTTTAAAACCAGCTTATTATGAACCATTTTTCAGCAGAATATATATGGAGGTAAAAAATAAGACAAGAAATATATAAGCTTGTTGTAAAAAAGAGTTTTTTCCAGACTATCAATGGTGCCTATGATTAATGCTATTGCCATTGCTGATTTTGACACCAGGTGGCGCTTTCTGACATAATCGCAAGTAAATTAATTTTCTGACAAAAGAATAAATGCGTCGATATAACTTTTTTAAGTCATTGGATAGTCAAATATGGACCCAACAAACCACTAAAGGATGGCCTTTTTATCCTGACCAAAAATATGAAGAAAACAATTTGGGGGAATTATGGAAAGATTTCCACTTGCTACTAATGTCTAACCATTGCCAATTTACTAAATGAAATACTAATTTATTATTTAGAATGCCAAATAATATTTAAAGGCAAAATAAAATGTTTATATTTTTCTTTAATTTTTTTTTTGGAAAAGCACTCAATTGGAAAACATGTCTATTATATTTTAGTGTTTATTCTTCCACTATTAAATTAGGTTTCGTCAACAAACCAATTTTTGAAGAAATTTTGTTAATTAATGTTGAATTATTTAAAATTATTTTGAAATAATTGAAGTATTATAGTTCGTTCCGAACGCGGCGATACCTCCTAGGCATTGGACTATGATGAGTTTATGAATACATTTTTAATGCAATAAATATTTAACAAATTTAAACCAATTTCAGAGTAGACAAATAAGAGATTTTGAAAAACATCAAATAACAACAAGGTGCGTAGCTTCAGGTCAAATAAAAACAAAATTTGTTTTCACGGGAGTGTTGGTAAACAAAAATTAATTATTTCATATAAAAATGAAGCATTATTCATATTTTAAAGGATTTTTTATGTTTACTGTTAGTTGCCTTCAATTTTTGTTTGTTAAATTTATTTATTGTTTATTTTAATGCAAAAATACTAATGTCAGTATTTGGTGCTTCTCGATGGCATTGAAAAAAAGTAATAAACGTAAATCATAACAATTTATTTTTAACATGATTTATTAATTTATTTAATTTATTATTTAGAATGCTAAGTTATTATTTTGGATGCTAACAAAATAATAACTTAGCATTCTAATTAAGAAATTCAAAACAATTAAGCATTATTAACAACTTTCTTTCTCTTTCCAAAATCCAACTTTTTTAATGTTCAGGCTAAAATAAAGTTTTTCACTGTGTTGTTTGGCCGCTATTGTGATATTTAATGGCATAAAGAAGAAGTCATAAGTTATTCTTTTTTCAGAATATTGTTTTATTTGCGATTAAGTATAGAATAACCATCTTATGCCAAAGTAAGTAATTGAAATTGCAATACTGATTGCAGTTTATTAAAATGCCTTTTGGATATATGGATATTTACTTAAGAAAATGTTTCGAACACCATCACTATTTTTCTTGCAAAGATAGAGCAAACAGCATCGAACAAAAAAGATTTTAATTCTCAGCTTTAAAGTAGCACGCACAAAATTTTGGTCGAAACCGAGACGATTTACTTAAGGATTTTTTTTAAATTTCTATGACCGTCCGTTTCCCTACTTCGTTCCCGTCGTTATCCTTACTGTGACATACGGTATCTTCGGCAAACTAAAATTTTAAGGCATTAACATATTTTCGGTTAAATTAAAGGAATAAAAAGAAGTGATTTGTTGATAGTTAGTTTTTGTATGTAAAAAAATGCAAAATATCAAAATGCTGTCCATATTTTAATATAAAGTATTAAACCAACAAGTAAATTTAAAAAAATTGAAGTTATGAAATTCCTAATCATCTCACACGTCATTTCACTGCCCCGACGAGTACATTACAGCAGTTGTTCTTGTTGTGGATGACCGTGGCAACCTGGCTGAGTGTCCAGCAAAGTACCATCTCTAGAGTTGTAAATTGGTACAGAGAAACAGGACAGTGTACTAAAAGTAAAGCACAAGGTCGCAACCGAATTACATCTGATGATCGTCTTACAGCTCTAAGACAGAGCATTGTATACAAAGCTAAACTTTGCAGCACGCAAATGGTTCACTATTAAGTAGGGAATATCGTCTTGTCAGGTTACAATTTACCAGGAACCATGTAAATTGAAGCAGGAAGAATGGTTAAATATCCTCTTTACAGATGAGTCCAGTTTCTGTTTGTGAGTCAGATGCCTGTGAAGAACGTCACTACAAGTGCAATTTTAGGGGGAAAATTTTGGTGAAGGTCACCTATGATCTGGGAGGCATTGAAATGGTGGCTGTAAACGAGGGCAGGTTAATCGCTAATCGGTGGATAAGGGAGATTGTTGAAACTCACGTAGCCCCTTATGGACCTTATATAGGGACAATTTCATTTAACTTTACCACCGAGAACTGGTCAGCACGAAGCCTTGACTTCAATCCTATTATTTGGGACCATATGGGACGGCAAATTCAACAACATAGAAGACCAATTAGAAACTCAAAATGGGAAGAAATGCCAGGGGAGTACATTCAGAATCTTTTTGAGGGACTGCTGAAGACAATAATAAATTCTAGTGGGGGAAACACTTGACATTAAAAGTTTACGTTGGCTTTATTTGTATGTTTTGTTTTTTATTTCAATTGCATTTTTGAAGAATTAAAGTTTTGTTTCAATCTGGTGTATGTGCTATATATTATCTGCCTTACTTTTGGTTTGTTACATTTGAAATTGTTATTATCATTATATTAAAAAAAATACAGTGATGCAAAAACCAGAAATTTGGAATTATTCGCGGAGGTGTGTATTAAATTTATGTAATGTAAGTATGTATTTGTAATTTAACACACACCCAAATGCCAATTATTATGCAAATTAAGAATCACTCGGAGATCGTGGACACAAAATGCACTGTTTGTTCGATCTGTGCCATGTGACATTTGACAGTGCCGGCAGCCCTAAACCCGTTCATTACCCCCTTGAGTCAATATTGACATTTAAATCCGACAAACGTGGGCTTCCCGCCCGGCTCTTATTTTTCGTCCTGGTAACGTCACCTTCAGCGCATTTGTGACGTTTCAAATCTCTAACAATTTTCTGAAGTAACACGAAAACGAGTTCAAACAAATTTTATTGGTCTACATTAAATGTTGCCCATAATTATTGCCTCCTCCTCCTTGACACTTCGTACCTCGAATTGCACTAAAGACGTCATTGCTCCACACCCTGAAATTGATTTTGTCGTAATCTAACCTCCCGTACAAGAATGCCGGCATGGTGTTGGTCAGTATGTAAACGCGGTCACTGCTGACTTTAACGTCTGATGGATAAATCATTTTGTCGTCGTCCTTTTGCACTATGGAAATCGATTTCAGATTATTGTTTACGTTCCAGCATCCCACGGCGTTCTGGTTTACTAGTCCTAAAAACATTACGCCCGATTTCTTGTGGATGTCGGCGGTAGCAGTTTGCGACAAAGGTCCACGGTCTCCGATAGTCTGAAAATAAAACGTTATTGTTATCGCATCCCAGCTATTACTTATTTTGCTTTGTAATGGGAACGGTTACGTTTCGATGCCTATTTTATAATACCTGAAAACCTATAAAACCTCTACAACACTTTAGGGGAACGTTGCTTATATTCGACCACTATCAATTCTTCTTCTTTCTCTGCTTATCCGTTAGTGGATGTTTGCGATCACATTTTCCATAGCTTGTCTATCTCTGGCCGTGTTCCTCGGCCATGACATTCTCTTTCGTCCTAGTCCTCTTCTACCCTCGATCTTGCCGTCAATAATGAATGGCAAAAATTGATATTTATGATTGCGCATTATGTGACCTAGGTGTGTAATCCTTCTTTTTTTTACAACGTTAATAGACCTGAGAACATCTTGGTTTCTCGTTCCATGGTATCCTAATAATTCTGCGGTATATCCACATCTCAAATGCTTCCAATTTGTTTATGGCTTTTACTCTCAACTTAAAACCGAGGACAAAGGTCAAAGGTCAAACACTAGTTTAATGTTCTGAATGCGCCTCGGGCTTGTTGAATTGTGCTTTCAATTTACTTGCCTGAAGCCAAGTACCTAGGTACCTAAATTTTTCCACGCGTTCTATAACATTATTTATTATAAACATTATTATTATTCTATAACATTATCCGTTAAGCTGGCGTTTTTAAATTTATCTATCTGTATCGTGATAACCATGAATTTGGTTTTCTTTATGTTCATGTTGTCCGCAATCAGAACAGTGTAGAAAGCATAGCGTATGTCAATTATCCAAAGTCCATTAACTTTGATCTTAATTTCCTTGTCCTCAAGCGACTCCTGAAAATAAGCCTTTATTTTTCATTTGAAATTTGAGTAACTCTCACCGCAGTACAAGCACAATTCCTTAGGTTCTTCAGTGTCTGAATATGTTGAGTCTTCTGAAGTGTTCTCTGTAAGAGTGTTAGTATTTCTATCAGCTTTCGTTCTATGTGAAAATAAATTGGTTGGAATTTCTCCATGACATGACTCCTTTTCTTTCAGATCCTCTTTATAAGGCGTACTAATAAGCAGTACTGCGGAAGCGGTGGTTCTATTTTGTCGCGTTTTGTTCCAAGAAGAGGAGTTAATTCCTTGAAAAACTCGTTTAATTTTTCCGATAGGGGCGAATTTCTAAAATTTCATACTCTCCCTAATGATAAACATGATAAACAGATGATATTTAAACCTATTTCGATTAGAAAACCAAATTCCGGCACCTAAATTCCCTAAAAGCAATTCCAGATATACCTACACTGGTAGGCTTTCCCTAAGCTCGTCGCAATAGTTCAGCTACATTGTGCATTGGTTTCCCTACATTAGCTCGCAGCCAAGAGTTCATGAATGTAATAATTTTGCAAGGTTTAAGAAATCCTAAATGCAACTGAAGAACATGAATGTGTTTTCTAGGGCCTCCAGAATTTCGCTACGGGTGTTGTGACTACCTAGTAACAAGAGTAATGATTTTTCCGCACTTGACTGAACAGACTGTCAAGTATCCGACAATTCAATAAGGCTTATCCACGGAGCACCTCGTTTAGGTTTCTTATCTTTTCGAATATTAGAACATACAGTTCCACTGCACTGTACCAGCAGCACTAACTCGAGGTTTTTTCCTTTTTGATACTACCTTCTGCATTTTCTTTTGTACCGTTGTATAACCGGATTCATCAACATTAAATATTGGGTTTCCCATGGATTCATATTTCTCTATTAACCCTTCCAAAATATCAAAAAACTGCATACTTTCTCTGGATTAAATCCTCGTGTCCTAGTAGGTGGTTGGTGAACTGACAATTCAGAGAACTCCTCCTTTCAGCAGTCTTTTGTAGAAGCGATTAATTAGTTTGCCCTTTTCTGCCAACTGGAAGGCTATTGTAAGAAGATAAAACATTTCCTCGAGTTTAGTAAAGTTATGCTACTCATTTTGTTTCCATATATTATAATTTTCCTGTAGCCACTTTATTGGTACGTCTCACGTGCATCAAAAGGGTGGATTTATTAATACTGTATCTTCGAGCACATTCATTTAAGCCACTTTGACATTCTTCGTAAGCCCTGATAGTCAAGTTCAAATTGCTAAATATTCCTTTAAAATAGTACGAAAAACTAGCACCTATTGTAGCGTCGAGCACGTTTTGGAAACTAAAGTAAAATTCGGAACGAAAGCAGTTCCACATTTTAGTACCCGGTTCAATATAGTCAAGTCTCCCCTAAATTTATATGGTAATGATGCCAATAATTTCAGGCACTATTAAAAGCTTTTACTTCTCTTTTATTAGTAACAAAGGGTTCGTTGTTACTGCATAAAATAGAAATAACGACAAGCAATACTATTTTCGTTACCTCTATTAAAACCTACCTAAATATATTTTATACATATTTTATATCATTTGAAAACTGAAAAGTTATAATCAGGTCACACTACATTTTTTTGCAATTATAAAATGCAGAACATTTTTTGGTAGCATATTTTTCAAGTTTCAAAACATCTAAGATGACATCATGTTTACCAAGTTCACTTTTTAAAAACTTGTATGAAATTTTGAATGGACTTTCCAAGTGAACATCTTGGGGGTTTTTATAACTTCTGCGTCGAGATCTTATAAAACTCTAAGGTGATTTTGGAATATTTAGAGTGTTATAAGTTAACAAAAAGGTATTTATAAATAGCTTCGCAGTTGGTATGAAACAAAGAATGACTCTCACCTTACCTTACTTTCCTGTTGTTTATTTTTTTTTAAACAAGTGTATTTAGTTTTTAATATATATCTCAATATAGTTTAAAATTAAACTAAAAACTCAATGTAGGAATATAATTTCGGGTTCGGTAAAGGATAGTTGTATACTACAATAAAAAATTATTGCTGGAGCAATAAATCTTTCTTTAGCTGTTATAGTTATTCCTAAATATTTATTCGATGCTTTAAGATTTATAAAGAGTTTACGAAGTAAGCTATAATAGCTAGCTATCAAAGATTTTTAAGCACCCTATTAGCTTTATAGATAAAGTTACGGGAAACATTTAAATGCAATTTTATTAAACTTCAAGCATGTTTGCATTTATTGACCTTCTTACGGAACTTGTAACCATTATATAAAAACGCTATAAATCAAATTATAAATGCTAAGGTTTCTTACAAACCTCCTACCTTGTAATAAAACCTTAAACTGCGAAAAACATTAGTTGGAATCCTCAAATCTGAACAGAGCCACGAATAGAAAACTTACATCTTACTTAAAAAAAATATAAGGCCCTGACATCGTTTCCCCATAGTCCCTGTCACAATAAAGAAGGATAAAAATGTATCCATCAAATATGTCGCAAAATTATAAAAATGTGGTTTACAAAAAGGGAAAATGAAATAAATTAAATAACATGGAATCAACGGCAGGGATTTTAAATTTTACCCATCCTAAATTTCTTCTTTTCATCTTTATGTGACAGAGCAGAAATTGAAATTACATAAACTCTCACAGTAGTTGCGAGCATTTTTTGGACTACGTGATCGCCTTTTTGATGAAGACATCTCTCTATACAAAAAGATCTAAAAGGTAATGTCTCCCAACTACGTTTGGCATTATTCCTGTTGATTCTTATAAAAACTCGCCACAAAACCGACTGCCATACAAACTCAACCATACTGCACTTTGCACTGTATACAATCTCAACTGTTTAGATGTCCCCTTGTATAACGAGATTAGAATTATTCTGTTAACAGAGGTTTTTTCTAGAAATAATGTTAAACCTTTTTTTTTATTAACATCTTGTTTTATTTTATTTTGTGAATTTTATCTGTATTAATTTATTATTGGTTGTATTTCCTTATAAACAATAAATAAAATTGAATTGAATTATATACAAATTTAAAATCACTTGCGTTAATTTGTCAGCATGACCAAATGTTCTAAATATATTTCCGTCAAGAGCTCCAAAAGTCAGTCATCTTTCAATCCCTGCTATTCGACTTGGGCAGCGACTGCTTCGATGGGCTTCCAATACGAATCTCAATAATAATTGGTATAAAAGCATGCCAGAAAAAGTTCTCTTGAGGGAGCAAACAAACTCACAAGTTTATTTCAGAAATACAGTTATTTCAATAAGTATTCAACTGAGAAGCTTGTTTTGATAATATACACCGTTATATCTAAATTACCTCAAAGTCGCTTCCATGATAAGAACGCGTAGCTAATGTTTCGTTTCTGAGAATCTTCGTGGATGCCCTGTACATGTGCGTACCCGCCATCGCGTGGAAATACATATCCCTGTAACCATCCGGTTTTACGTCAGTCAATTCGACACTGAACACGCCATCGTTCCACTGAAACTGGTGACCAGCGATACGGAACTCGCCCGCCGTTGGTTCGACGTAAAAGTAATTGTGGTTAACTCTCCATGCCTTATTTTCGCTGAGGCTGTAAACGACCAGGCCGTAACCAGCCAGGTCTGCGAACAAACAAAACTCGATTATCGCTGACTTGGTATAATTCAAAGTTTACCTGGAAAGTAGGCATATGCATTGGTACAATCTTCCTTGGTCGTATCAACCGTCACACTGGCTAATACAGTCGCAGGAGTAATAACCGAAGCTGGAAGGCTGTATCTGTGAATGATATCATCCGTTTGGAGATTGATAAGGATCAGCTCGTGTGGTTTGACCACTGTACGGTTTCCTGTAACCATTGAATTGTTATAAATTTATTATATATTATTTTACAGAGCTGCTGATATTGAAAGACACTGTAGTAGCTGGACCATACGCGTGTATAATGAAAAGTAATTATATGAAATCTAGTAAATATGTGATTCTCTGCTGAAAGTTGAACTAACTAAACTTCAGCCCGAAAATAAGTACTGGAAGAAGAGCGTTTATTTTGTATTCATACATAACTTAGTTTTTGAAACAAAAATTAATAACAGTTCTTTTTCGATTCCCGTATTATTGTTTTTATTCTCCTTCTCTCAATAAATTAAACTACTACTCAAACAAAAACTGGTATATAAAGACAAAACACTCGAAGATATAGTTTGTATCTCTGAAGAATCCAATATATCATCTGAGTAATATACACAAACCAGACTTCTTTCCATTTCATACAGATTTAATAAAACATCAGATGTAGATTGGACTTGTTGCAGATTATTTTGCTTGCAGTTTGGATGAACAATCATTTAACAAGTTTGTAGATCTTTTTAGAAAATTTACAACGGACATAGAACAACGAAAAAGAAGAATTGAAAAGCAAATGTATTATCCAAAAAAGAACTAAGGCATATTTTTTTTATGTTTATAGACATGTATCGAGTGTTGTATTCAAAATTTTAAAGTTCCTGTTAAATTAGTTTCGGGTTGATCTGACAATACTGCATTTGGTAAAATAGTTCTGTGGCCATTACGAGTGCTCCAAAAAAGCGTTTTCAAATTTTTAATTGGCGGCTTAGGAAATTAATGATCCACTCCTGCCTAATAAGTAAACAAAACCGATTTGGTACGAGTTTCGCATTGCCTTGGTCTACTTTAGAGGTTGCGTTAAAAGAAACGTGTCTAATTATTGTTTCTTTCGATGTCAGGAATCATTCGGTCTACTTTTTTATTACGCATACCATACTAAGGAATAATAATTATCCACAACCAGACTTATCAGCCTCAATTAGCGATTATCGATAATATGGAGTAATTTTCAACATTGAAGTATGATTTTTTTAGTATTGGTCAGTCATGTGTTTACCTAAGGTTTCCACGATTCCCGTATCGACGAACCACATTCTGTCGCAGACGTCTATAGCGACTCTGTAGACTGACACGATGTTTTCTCCGACCCCAGTCCGGTCTGGATACAGATTCGTCTTCCAGTTTGGATAGGGAATTAAAGGGGCGTTGTGCTTGATTCTACCATCCAAAAATACATAATTTAGCGTAGAAGGTACGCCAAGTCTTCGACGGGGCACAGTTACGAAGAGTTTGTTTTGCCAGACATTTGCACCCATTGGAATATTGTTCACTGAAATTACGCTTAAAGAAGTTATCATGTAAATTAGGATATAGATGTTTCATAAAACGAGAGTTAAATAAAATGAAAATATGCAATGACAGTGACCATTAAACAGGGTGGACAACTTATAGATTATATCGCAAAGTTCAGACACAATGCAACAATAGTTTTCGACAAATTGTGTTTAGCTTTCAAGACTTTACACACCAAAATTAGGGTCAAACTAATTTGCATTCATTAGACAGGCCATTATTGGTACTAGGTACAATAAGTACAATACTACGTCTATGGAATGGGATTTAAACCTAAAACTTAGCCCCTAAATAATTATTTTTAATTATTTCTCTGGCATTAACAAACAGTTCAAAATTGGAGTAAATTAAAATATCAATACAAACCAGTTTCATTATGTAAGTTATTATTTTTATTTTTAATAAGGAACATTGTAATTGTAAATGTAATAATGTGATTCTAAATATTGTAATTTATTTTAAACGGATATGGTATTCAAAAACACATATATGTGTAAAATGTAATGATATTATCTTTTTTGTTCCAAGTCTGTTACAACTTCTCACTTAAGCACCCACAACTTCAACAGGATTTTTTCTATAAGTGGTGTTTCCATCAAGGTGTTTAGTAATAATTGATTATTGTTGATACCTGTCAGATTTGGACAGTTTAAATTCAACAGAGCCTGATTTTTTCTTTAGCTGTTTATCTTTATAGCTAAACAAAAATATAGTCTCTGGAGCGATGTTAAAGAACAAACATGAAAATAAAATAGGAGAAAATTGATGCAATATCTTGGATCGACAGAAATATTGGAACGTGGTCGCATATTCATTAGTTTTAAATGTTAACAATTAATTAATTAATTAATATATTTAAAGATTCTTAGAACATTTAGCAAGAAGTAAGACAATTTTGTATAAATTTCATTCAAAGATCAGCCGATATTGCAGAATTTGCTTCTGCCCTGCCAAATGTCGACAGCACACGAACTTATGAAGCTACTATGAGTATAGCAGCAAAACGAGTTAAGTGTGTGGAAAATCATTCCTTTATCATAATTTTTACCGAAGTAGTAACATATAATACAAAATACAGTCTCAGATATATTGGATTTGTCATCATCTCTTTATATTAAAATAGAGATTATAAAGTAATATATAATACAAATAAATAAACAATATCTGTATTTCATGAAAGCTTTTTGTTTAAGTATATAATATCATTAATCATTATCATAACTCATAAATATAAACAATATCTGTATTTGCTCAAGTTTACAATATCATAAATCATTATCATAACTAATAAATATGTTATTTTGTTTTTGCTCGAAATTTGTTTATGCAATAAAGATGTTGTTATTTATATATGTTATTATATTAAGAAACAAGGTATACCATTGAAGCTTTACAAAGAGTTGTACAAGAAATTAAAGAGAAAAACACAGGTGGCAGACAAGTATTTCATTCCTAGAGCGACTGTTTTTGATCAAGTAAAAAAGGTCTGTTTAGTACAATATCAAAAAAAGGTGAGAAGTCAGTTTTTAATGAATCCCAAGAAAACGAATTGGTTAAATTCATTTTAAAATCCTCTAAAGCCTTCTTTGGGATAACAATTCCTTGCCTAAGAAAAATTGCATTTCATTTTTCCGCTGCTAAGAATAGAGCAAATGACTTCAATAAAGATACCAAGATGGCAGATCATAGTTTTATGGCAATATATTACTATGAAGACCAGAAGCCACTTCAATAAATCGGATCAAAACAGATATACTTTCGACGATTAAGTTCAGCATTTGAAGGCATTTGGAAAACCATCTACAGATGATCCTGTTTTACTAATACTCGACAACCATGAAAGCCACATTAGTTTAAGAGCTCACCAATTTTGTCACGAGAATTTTATTCATGTTTTAACTTTGCCACCTCACACATCTCATAGAATTTAGATTTAACTTTCCATGGTCCACCAAAAACAGCATATAACAGAGAATGGAATTTCCTTCATGGTCAACCATCCAGGTACAAAAATCAAGCCATTTAATCTTGTAGACCTTTATACAACGGTTTTTAATAGAACCACAAGTACAAAAAAAGCTCGAATGACTTTAAATCTGCTGGAATTTGTTTAATGGATCAAGATATATTTAAAAACACTTTTCAAAGTTTTAGTGATATTTCTGCACCGGTCTTGAGTCTTGAACAAAGGATACAAGTTGTCTGCGATGCTGCACATGCAAATATTTCTAATCTAGCAGAATCTCAGGAAATATTATACTTATACTTTCCAATAATGAGGCTAACGTTGACGATTTAAATGAAATAATACGTAGGTCTGTATTAGTTGGTGATGTTAGTGAAGCTGGTCTAATTCAAAGTATAACGAGTCAAACTTGTCCATCGCCCTTAGTACCACTTAGTGATATAGTGCAGGTACCAACTCTAAATCCTACTCGTACGAAACGATTAGCACATCGGAATAAGTGAACCTAGAGCAAAAAGAACAAAATAAAATAGAAAGAAAGAGAAAGAACATGGAACAAGAACGGACAGAAACTACAAATAAGAAACCAAAAAACACTAAAGAAAAACGACCAAAATGTTTAAGAAGCTTCAACAATTATGAATGTGATAAAGAAAAAGATGAATATTTCTGCATTTATTGTCAGGAAAAGTATTATCATCCACCCACCGAAGATTGCATTATGTGTTCCAAATGTAAGAATTGGACACAGAAAAATTGCTACTTTTGTGAATTCTGCAAGTGAAATGGTAGCTCATCCGTCAATACGCCATGTCCTCAGTTAACCCAGCACTACTAGAGCTAAGGGTAATTACGGACATATATGCTTTTACTTTTGATTAAAATTTAATTCAATTTAAAATTTAATTTTGATTGATCTCATATAATTATTAATGTCGGTTTGATCTTTAAAAAACTATAGTTTAATAATTATTAAAAACAGTCCGCAATTCCCCCACTTGTTCATATTTATAAATTTATACTGATATTTAGAGATCGCTGTTTTTTAAAAAACATCAGATTGAATTTAATTGATTTGATTGAATATCTAGCGGACATGTTTAAATAAAAATAGATAAATATGCAGAAACGTGGTATGCGAGTATACTTAATGATCACGCAGACCGGATTCTAAGGATTAAGAAAAACGACCTCTCCTGTAATAATAACAGTCAATGACGCGTTAAAAATTTTAGTATAAATTTATATACTTGGGTGTGTTAACATGTTTACCATCAACATGAAACAAAGGTTACCTAATCTGGCAACAAACAACAAAGTTAATATTTAGCAACGAGTTACACCTTTCTTATTTAAATCAAATCAAAGCAAAAAAGTATATATTTTTTAAAAGCAAAATGTGAAAATGAGAGATAATACTTTCACCTACTTTTTTAGTATTCTTTTCATCCCCTTCTTATTTAAAAATAAGTATAAACGGTTATTTTTGTTGTGATTATTATCGAAAACAAAACGACCAGATTTAAACGCCTCTGATGACCTAATTTATTTATATATAAACCAATTAATGGAAAACACTAACCGTATTGATAATCTATTGAACTTGGACTTCCAGCGCCGGAATCTGCGTTCGTAGATCCATCGAACACTATAGAATCCGCACCATTTACGCTATTTCCGCGAGATTGTTTGATTGATCTTGATCTATCGCCCCGGGAATAGGAACTTCGTTCCGTCAGACTCAACGGATTAATATTCCACGCGTAACCGATTCTGGTCCAAGAAAACTCTTCCCTTAATCCAGCACTGTACGTATGAGAGGCTAACGTAACCAAAGAAAACACCATTCCAAACAACATTGTGCCGACAGCAGTGAACTTAACCTGATTTCGTATTTGATAGCACTAAATACAAGAATGCAAATCTCGGAAATATATATATACGGATACCGTTTCTCGTTGTTTTTCTATCCAGCGTCGGCGACGACGGGTTTGCAATCGCCGTATTTTGAAACACCTAAACTGGTCAGGTTTTAATATATACGTTGTTTTTTTTGTCGCGGATATTATCAATTAAAAGTTTATTTAAGCCAAACAGCAATCCCATTGCGGAAGTATTCAACAATTTGATCTAATCAAATCTCTTTATCAGCTTACTTAAAAATAAGATATAAAAAGGGAATGGAAACCATGTATTTCAGTAGAGTGATTGTGAAATAAAAACGAGATGGTACATTTCCTCATTTCCTGGGGGATTTGAAAAACAATTACTTTCAGTGTGATTGAATGATGATTCACAAATATATTCGAGATATGTGCTTCTCAGTTTAAATCTAAGCAGAAACAAATACTAAAAATGGCCCCACCTTAGGTCTCTAAAATTGCAACACAGTAAGTGTCATTATAATAGAGGAAGAATATCGACGGATCTAAATTAAGTGTTCATCACTGGTAACTTTGTTATGAGTAGAGATACAGAGTCGATTAAATTAGCAACCTGGTAGCACTTTCTCCACTGATTACGGAAGTGAAAACAGAAAAACAATTGAATGTAGAGTTTTAGAAAAATGAGCAAAATGTACTCTTTTTAAATGTATCACAAACAGAACAAAAAAGGCAATATTAGACTCGGTGGCTATGATTGGTTGTGAAATAGAACAACATTTTCCTGCCAAATAGAAAAGTTTGTCAAAAAATTAGTTTTAATGGGTTAATGATTGATATTGCTATATTAATTGTTATCACTTATTCAAAAATGGAAGACAATGTAAAATGTAAAGTAAAATGTAGTAAATTGTCCACAAGATCAAGAGAACGATATATAAACCTATATCCACAGTGCACTCCTTTAATACCGGCCAAGGGATTTTAAAAAACACAAATTTTACTCTTATAAATTCCAGCATAAACAATTTTCGGTGTATCATGTGAACTAAAGAATCACATTTTTCAAATTCTGGAATTTATAATCCAAAAAATCATCATTATTTATGAAGGGAAAATTTATTGCAATTTATTGAAACACGTTTGTTTCAGCTTTAACGTGTGGTGCGGTATAAATGGTTCTCGCATTGTTGGTCCCTATTTTTACGAGGGCACGCTGACCTGTGAGCGGTTCTCTAGACGAGCTTTACCTCATAAGTAGACAAAATCTCCATGTCCAAAAATGGACAACCATTTTCAACAATAAATGTATTGCTACATATGGACCTGTTCCTTGGCCTCCTAGGTCACCAGATATAACCCCGCTTGATTTGTACTTGTAGACGAAATTTGCAAGCAAAGGTACCAACACGTCGATGATTTATAGGCGACGTAAAAGAAAAAATAAACCAGATAGATGGTAGAACAATATTAAAGGCAATTCTAATAGGATAACGTACTCAAAAATGTATAGAAGTACGAGGTGCTGCTTTTGAACACAAAATAATGTTAACAGTTAATCATAAATTAATTAGGTTTGTTAGTTTTTTTTTGCTATTTCCATGTTTTGTTCTCTCAAATAAAACAATAAGAGGAAACTATCTGCAGACTAGTCTAGCCTAATCAAAACGTGTAACAGAAATGTACCAAGTGCTATAAAAAAGGCCTTTGCCTGTAGTACTATCATCATTACTGGAAAAAGGAACATGTCGAATTTTGTTTTTTTTTTCAAAGCTAAAACTCTTGAGAAAAGGTAAACATATCAACTCAAACCAGAAGGAAATGTATCGGAATGTTTTTATGATCGTAGCAAACAAATTATTTTGTTCGCCTTAAAAAATTTTATTTAAAGCTTTATCCCGAAAACCATAATTTTCCCAAATAATCAATTTACTCACATATTACAAAACCTTTTTTAGATGAATCTGTCTGTACTTCTTACAAGTGACGTGATAACTCTTTAATGAATAATATGTCATATAACAGTAATGAAACAAGTTTTAATAAATAATAATATAAATGTGTACCATTTATTAATAACTAGAGACACGGTTTTATGCGCTAGTGAGAAAACTGACAATAAAAAACTCTTCCGCATTTTACCGTATAAGTACGTTGTTAAGGTAAAAAATAGTCAACTACTAGTTCAAAAATTTGTATCGCATCTGTAGTGACCGAATATGAAAAGTTTCATTAAAATTAGCCACAATTTTAATTATTTTTCTGCAAATTCTAAAACTCCTACAGTAATAAATAATATAATAATAAATTGCCCAAACTAATGGTCATAACAGAAAAAAGTGGTCTGACCATCATCTGCAACACAAACCAATATGTGGGTTTCATTTTAATTTTCACATTAATCAGTGAACAAAAATAAGCGATAAAACGATTCGTGTTGAAACATTGCAACCAAAAAATGGTTTTTTCTTATTTGAAAAAAATCCTTTCTAGGTTTTACTATCAAACTTAGAAGGTATGGTACCCCAATTTTTCATTACAATATTTTGGAAATGAAGAAATTTAGGACATAAACTTATATGAACTTTTTTACTTATTTTTGTCTTTGAATACGCTGTTAAAGTTTCTCCATTATAATTCGGACCACCCTGTATCACGAGAAGTAGAAATTAATGCTGTTTAAGATTGTAACCGAAGAAAAGTTCAAATGAAAGAAAAATGTGTAATGTTCTGCTAATTTAGGAAGCAAAAATTGATTTGATTGATCGTTTTCTAAAATAATTCTTCATTCATATATAATTCATAATTTATCATGTTTCGGGCTTATGAAGTTATGAAGGAAAAACGCTGTGGTGCTGGTCGGCCTTTTGTTACCAAGGGTATTTATTTAAATTTATTTAATTGATTAATAATAAACTGGCAATAATTTATTATCTCATAGACTTTAATAGCTAAAAGGTCAATGGTTTTGTCTAGTAACAAGTGAGTTCGTTTATTATTATGGTTTCATCTAAAGTCAAAGGAAATTTGGCATATATACCCCAGTCTGGAGTTTTGCTAACCGCTTAAGATATTACTGATATTACGAAGCCGCTTTTTGGTAAAAAAATTAAATCCAACCAAAAAAAAAATATTGAAAAATTGAAGAAATTTAAGTGTGCCACATGACTCACGATAACTGACAAACCAAATGCTGTCGACTTGAAATATTTAGGGACTCTGATAAGAACTAAGTTTTGCCTTGCTTAATTACTACGGCACTGTTTTCTTCAAAATAATTTTTCCTTAAATTATTTAGAAAACGGAATTATATAAATTCTGTATTTATTTTTGCATTTCATTTTTACAAAGGGATTAATTATTAGATTAGAGAAATCAAAACAAACAAATTTTAATTTATCGCGGGGCACACTTTAATACTTTCGATTTCGTGTCTATTGCAAAATTTCCATCGAGTCATCCGACAGCTATAAACCTATCTTATCTCATCCGCTCTTCCGTAACGGGGGCATATAGAAAGAGTAAAACAGTTGCACCGTCTGCGAAATCTGCTCGTATATTGTCAAAGCAATCTTGATCCTGGCTTTTGGCTTACCAGAAATCGAGCCAGCTTTGGAAACGACTCTAACCTATACGAGGCAATATATTGTAGAGTTTTAATGCCATATCAGTTTATTTACGGTCTCCGCCGCTACAGGGGGATGTTTTATTGCGTAACGGATGTACACATTTTCGACCCCAGCTCGATGAAGGTTTGGTCGGTAGGTGTGGTGTGTCTCAAAAAGACAAAGGCGAGTCATGTGCCGGTTGGCAGCTTGGACAATTGTGAGCAAGATATGATAAGAAGAATATAGTCCCTTTATCAAAACCAAGCTGTTCCTGTTTTGCATAAACTAAAACGAAATAAGAAGAAAATGAAAGCAATCTAGTTATTAAGCGAGATTCCGTTAATACAGTTATTTGGCAAATATCACAAAATAAACAAAAAAAAGTCTTTGAAATCGTACAGACTGCGTACTTGAAGGTTTAATTGCCTTAATGAACCCAAAAAGTATAGATCCAAAGGATAAGATGATTACATTAAAAACTGTCAGAATAAAATGTACTTATATAGGTAATTATTAATAATTTGTATATGTTTATTATTATCAACTAATTTGATTTTATAACACCTTAATAAACACAACATAATATTTAATGTTTATATTTTTAAAACAAATTAAAAGTCCGTCCCTGATGCTCTGTCCTGCAATACCGACTTTTCAGGTTTTATAGTAGCATTTCAAGTATATTGAGTTTTAAATTCATAAAGTTAGAAAATTGACAAATAGTATAAAGGGTTGAAAATATTTCATGTGCCATTACGTACTTGGCAACGTGTCTCAAACTTCATCCAAAAAAACAGAAACAACAACGAAATATTTTTTTAATGCGCAAAAATTTACGGGTGGCGGCACTTTGCTGTTTATATTTTTTGATACTATAAACTTATTAAATAACAAAAAACAAAAAATACCGGGGTAGCAGAGTATTTATATAATTTTATATAATACGGTTCTCACCAGACATATTATTTTATTCAAATTTTTAGAGAATTTCAAAATTTTCTTTTTTTTTTATCCAAAAAGTAAAAAGTTGTTACAGATTTCCTTTCCGGTTTTACGTCACAATCTCGACTTTTTTTATGGGGTTCTTATTCCTTTGCTGTTCCATACAATTGCAAGCCTAATGAATTTCTCGGATCTTTATATGGGTTTTAGTTAATTTTTATTTCGAGTTTACTCGTCTATACCGACTCCGAGTTTAGAGATTGCCGCAACTAAATATAATTAAAATTAATTAAATCTCCTCCCCAATATGACATCTTATGCGTTTATACTTCCTTAATACTAGTTTACGGTTTCAGCTCATTGATCGATCAAATAAAGTAATGCATAGTATCCTTGAAACCAAGAATTTTAAATAATAATTGTAATTGGGGGTATGAACCATTGTTTTTAAAAAATAT